AAAAAAAAAAAAAAGAAATATTGAATAAATTATCCAGGGTCCCTCAGAAGGCATTTAAACAGGATTTAATCCTTGGTAACCTACAAATAAGGTTATGAAGTATCTCCAAATTAAAAGTAAGAATTACCCTTCTTTATTTTCTGGAGCAAAGGAGGGGGGAATCCTTTCCATTTCTGCCTTTTTAAATAAAATTACATGAAAATTCCAGCTGAGGTAGACAAACACAGGATGTTTCAAGTAGTAACTAACACAAGTATCAAGTGTCAAGGGAAAAGAACTAATGAAGATGCTATATGATTTACCACTCAACATTATCAATCTCTTGCTAATAGAATAACTGAAAGTTCAGAATCCTGAAAAAATAATTGATTAAATGTATGATAGGCAAGATATATATGGCAGGCATATAATCTAATCAGCAACACTAAAATTTAATAATACATTGTCATGTTAGCTCTTATCTTTAGGTTTGTAACTAATGAAAAGAGCTTAAAATTTGATAATTATTCTATCTCCATTGATCCTAAATTTTATTTTATTCTCATTAATTTTCTTTTTTTAATTTTTTAACAAATATGGAATATAGGGACTAGGGATTTGGCTCAGTGGTAGAAAGCTGGCCTAACAAGCTGGACACTCTGGGTTCAGCCCTCAGCAGCCCCCTAAAATAAAAATAAAAATATGGAACATAGAAATACAGTGATGGGGCTGGTGAGATGGCTCAGTGGTCTAAAGCACCTATTTAGAACAAGCTTAGCAAAGCACAGGGACCGCGGTTCAGTCCCCAGCACCAAATGCCAGCCAGCCCTGCCCCCTGGTGGGCTGAGCTGGCCACACACACACACATACATACAAACAAAAAATAAAAAAAAAAAAAAATTAAAAAAAGAAAAAAGAAATACAGTGATATGAGACAGAAGCCTAACGTCCTAAGGGAGCAAAGAGCAATAAACAAAGCCCAAGGAGAACTGTTGCCTCTCTTGTAAATTCCAGCAAGCTGCGAAACAAGGCTACAGATAACAGCTTTTCATGCAAGTATCCTGTCTGGTCTTTGATCCTTTGCTTGGGATGCTATCATCAGCTAGCACTGTGTAAACTTAAGAGTTAGGTAAATGCCAGAAGGCAGTAGAAAGAGTAGTTTGTGTTCACAAAATTAGTTATGCACATTTTTAGCCTGCTTTTAGCCCTCCATAAATGGGAGAAGTTTCCATGGCTCGGACTCACTTACAGCAGGACTAAGCTGAGTGAGACCTCTGAGACTATTAATGTGTCACGAATTTGCGTGTCATCCTTGCACAGGGGCCATGCTAAAGTTCTTTGTATCGTTCCAATTTTAATACATGTGCTGCCAAAGCGAGCACTACTCTCAATAATTTTAATACATACAAAGACAGTTAAGCTTGTATGTATCGTGCGTTTTCTATCCAGTTCACTTTGCTTCATTAAAGATATAATTTAGCACTCAATTGTGATAGGAAAGGATACAGTGTCTATTTCAACAAACCCAGCAGTAATACTTTCTGTTCCCAGGTCCATTCTGCCCTACTAATAGTGTTGCACTTCCCTGAAGAAAATCAAATTATCAATGTTTCTGTTATGAAAAGCAAAAGATCAAGCCAGGAATGATGGCACACACGTCTAATCCCAGCACCCTGACAAACTGAAACAGGTTTATAAATTCAAGCCAGTATGGGCAATTCAGCCGGTAGTGTGAGATTTAACACCATCTCCAATAGTAGATTGGGGGCTGGAGATATAGCTGTCTGAAAGCCCTGGTTTAAAAAATAAAAAGCGTTCCACATTTAAATCAATTATTTCCTCAAAAATAATTACATTTTAGATACTCTCTTTTCAAGAAATTTTTTACTCAACAACTATTACTAAAATTAGTATCAGGGCTGGTGAGATGGCTCAGTGGTCTAAAGCACCTACTTAGAACAAGCTTAGCAAAGCACAGGGACCGCGGTTCAATCCCCCAGCACCACATGCCAGCCAGCCCCGCCCCCTGGTGGGCTGAGCTGGCCACACACACACACACACACACACACATAAATAAAACTTTAAAAAATAAAAAATAAAAATAAAATAAAAAGTCTGAATAAGGTCTATCTAACGATTACATACCTGTAGTTACATAAGGTATTCTTCCTTTTAAGAAAATGCATGTGGAAATATTTATAGGTAAAAAGCTATCATCCCTGCAACATATTCTCATATAGCTCAGAAAAATGTGGATAGACAAACACACACACAAGCAGGTAAGCTGATAGGGAAAGCAATTGTGATAAAATGACAACCTTTGAGGGAATCAAGGTAAAGGATATAATATACTGTACATGGGAATTCTTTGAACTATACTTACACACCCTTTTTTAATCTTCAAGTATTTCCAAAGAAACAAACAACAACAAAAATCAAAGAACATGATGGTACCATTGGGAAAAAGTTGATTCAGTCAAATTTGAGAGATTCTTAGTATCTGCATGTTCAAAGTCATTTTCTATTTGATTTTTGGTGCATGTAAGATTGATTGACTGGAATATAACAGCAGAGATGAATAACTGAACAGCAACATATAACTAACTTTCTTCTACCCATAAATGAAGTAATATAAATTTCCCGTAACTCCTGTGACACTGCTTCCATGAAAGGGTGTTTCAAAACTCTTTATGAGTTATACTTCAATTAGCTGAATAGCTAATGCATTCAGTGTTTATAAAAAAAATTAGATTTAAGTTATCCTTCATCTACTGTTGTCTGCTAAATACATTTTTAGAATGTGTATGACTAGCCGCTCTGCATGGCATTCCAAAGACACCTTACCTCTGCAAATGTTTGTAGTAGTCTGCTTACTTGACCAAAGGCCTGCGGAAGGACACCATCATAATTCGATCTTATACTGAAAGCATGCAACAAGCTTTTAGAATCTTGAAGCAAGAACTTCACAGTTGTAAAGTCTACTGCATTATTAGCTGGTAAGAAATAATTAAGAATGAAAAATACGTATGAATGAGTATAAAACATAAAAATGACACTGGGATGCTAATTTTTAAATTTAGGTAGAGTATATATATTTACAGTTACATACCACTACTAATTTAGCTCTCTGGTATAAAAAGCAACAAACAGACTTAGTAACAGACAAAATTCTATGAGTATGACACAGGTATCTACTTTCAGGAGTTCCCTAAACACAGACAGTTGAAAGTAAAATGACAGAATATCACACATTTAAGAAACAAGAGATAATCACAAGTCAAACCACAACTGAGGTTCTTTCTTTGTTGCTGTTTTGTTTATTCAAAACGAGTTTCACTGTGTAGTTCAGGCTGCCAGGCTAGCTGGCCCTGAACTCACTATGTACTCTAAGTTGTCCGCAAACCCATGGCAATCTTCTTATATAACTCCTGTGTGCAGGGATTGTAGGCATGTGCCACCACACCTGGCCTAAGGCAGCTTCACACTCAGATTACTACAAAGGCATCAGACAAGCCATACATTAGTGGCAAGCATGCAAGTTTCTGGACTGTCATAATCAACTCAGTTACCATGTAGTGATCTACTTTCAATTCTATTACATGAGATTTATTATATTTTTGAAATAATGTAAACTAAGAATGTGGGAAGCAATGAGAAGCAAAAGAAGCTAGCAGAATAACAACTTTATCTTAAGAAGCTAAAAAAATGTCTATATTAAATGTTCAAACTAGCTAGGAAAGGTGGCAATAGTTTCAAAGATTTAAAAAGTTATGAACAAGGGCCAGCCTGTTAGCTCAGTGGGCTAAAGCCTACTTAGGCAGAGCACAGTGGCCAGGGTTTGATCCCCTGTGAGATGAATAACTGAACAGTAATATATAACTTTCTGCTACACATAAATGAAATAATATAAATTTCCTGTAACTCCTGACACTGCTTCCATAAAGGGGTGTTTCTGGACTGTCATAATCAACATGCAAGGCATGTGGGGCCAGGGATCGAACTCAGGTCTTTGTGCTTGCCAACTATGCCTCTGAGCTATCTCTCTAGCCTCCATATTCTTAAATATTAAAATGGCTTTTCATTGGGACTGAGTAAAAAAAAAAAAATCCACATATGTGACTTACTCAAGCAGAACTTGCTTGGGAAATTCTTAAAGTTTAAATGAAATTACATTTCCACACGTAATCCTCAATATTCAGAAACTGTAATGGGATGCTGTTTATAGCCAGGGCTCAGCAGGAAGGGGAGGAAAAAGGAGGCAGAGAGACAGACTAAAACATTAGGTAAGCACTAAATAGGACCAGGGAGAAAGCTCAATGGCCTTAGCACCTGCCTGGCAAATGTAGAGTCCTGAGTTCGATCCCTGGTACCGCAAAAAAATAAATAAATAAATAAATAAAAAGCAAGCACTAAATGGAAATGTCCTCCAGAAGAGGATCATAGCTTGTCTGGACAACCTAGTAAGACCCCACATGAAGGAGAGGAGGGGAGGGGAGGAGAAGAGGGAGAAAACAGAGCAATTTATAAAACCAATGGTTATTTATAATAACGTTAGTATGGATAACAAAGTCATAAAAGTTACTAGTCATTTTCCACACAATTTCTATGAATTGACTTGTGATTTTTCTAATTCAAGCTTATCTTAAAAACTAGGCACAGTTGCATGTGCCAATAAACCCAGCAATTCAAGGAGGATGAGGCAGAAAGATCACAAGTTCAAGACTATCCTGAGCAATTTGACAGGACCTTGTCTCAAACCATAAAAAGGGCTGAGAATATGGCTCAACGATGCAGCACTTACATAGTGTACATATGGGTCTAAGTTCAATGCCCACTATAAAGAAAGAAAAAAATAGGAGGTAGTTTCATAATCCCTTTACACCTTCTTTACAAGTCTTTACAAGACTATGTACACAATGACTACAAAAATAACTTTTTAGCACAAGATACATAGGGCCTGGCAAACAGCTCAGTGGACTAAAGCACCTGCTTAGGCAGAGCATAACAGCCAGGGTTCGATCCCCAGTGTGCCGTGCCAGCCCCACCTCCAGGGCACGCTGAGACAGCAACTGGGACTAGGCATGGTGGCGTACAACTGTAATCCCAGCACTTGGTAGGCTGAAAACAGGAGGATCACTATGAGTCCAATCTCCCATACAAAGACCTTGTAGACCCTGTACTAAATACAAAAAAATAAATAAATAAATAAAAATACAGTCAAAGCATCTTCACTTCTCCCACTATTATCAAGAAGAGTTGCTTCCTACCACCTCTCTCTCAGCTGAATATAAGAGCAGATCACTACCCACCAACAGAAAAACAAATAAATAGAAAACAGCAACTGGTTTCATTTTTTGAACTAACTTTATTCAAGATCTCACACAGTCTATGGACTTCTTATAAAGACTGAATTATGTCTCTAATAGAAATGTGAAAAATGATTCCACTCACTTAATAAAAGCTCCATTAAAGATTTGCCTAGGGCTGAGATAGCTGAGTGGCATGAGTGCCTGCCTGGCAAGCACAAGGTTACATGTTTGATCCCTGGTACTGCATGCCATGCTGGCCCTGGAAGCCAGCCCTGAAACCAGGCATGGTAGTGCACACCTGTAATCCCAGCGCTGAGGAGGCTGAGACAGGAGGATCTCTATGAGTTCAAACTGTGTAGCAAGATCCTGTATCCAAAAAAATGAATAAAAATAAACAGAAATAAAGATATGACTAAACGGTTGTCGTGCATCTCTTACATATTAATATTCCTAATACTTAACTTTTATTAAACAAAAATAACATAAATGTGTCTTTCCTTTAAAAATTGCTAAGTTCAAAAACTAAATACCCAAAAGCAACCAGGGATAAGACATTAAAAAAAAAAAAAAACTATGTGCTTTAAATCTCCTAGGGAAAAAATTTAAAGCTATAAGATATTTTCAAAGCATTTACACTGTCAGGAAAGTAGAGAATAAGGCTTTTTTGTTTCCTATTGTATATACTTTTTCAGTAGATTTGGCAAATCTCTTTTATCCTTCATTACCTGGCTTTAAGCATACTTCAGTGGTCCTCTTATTCAAGCCACCAGTTATTTTTTAGAGACAGATTAAATATATTTAATATAAAACAATATGCAAAATACAACACTTAATGTGAAGAATATGAAAAACATGGATGAACATTTAATGACCTTTAAAGTCACTTGGTCTTGCAAAGTTACACAACAACACACATACATTAGATATAGATGTATTACTCATCTCAATGTTAATTGTTTGATAAAAAAACACAAGCTTTAAAAACGTTAGATTAATGCTTTTTACTTTTTCTTTTTAGCAAAGAAACTTTTTCATCTTCTACATGGAGATGAACAAAGTGGGGGAAAAATGCTGCCCCAGCTAAGATTGGGCATGAGGGCTAAGGCACCACCTGCAAGGCTCGCCTCACAAATCTCTACCTCATACATGTAACAGCAGCAGCTTTTAAAGAATCAAACATTCTAAGCAGTACAGTTTAAAATCCACCACCTCTGATTCATGGCAGTCTCTTCCAGTTCTAAAATTCACTATGTACAAAAGCCATAGATTTCCTACTCTTTACCCATAAACTTAAATAGAAAGCTTGATACATTTAGTACACAAAATGTACTTAAAAGTTTGTGTTAAGCACAGTGAGAAATAAAAAAAGTATTCTATTTACATACCTAAGTACGCTGTGAAAAGTTTTATAAGTTTTCAAAATAAATTTCATTAATTCTTTTTAATCTTTTATTTATCTGGTACAGGGTCTCACTGCACAATTCAGACTCATACTGACCCTCCTGTCTCAGCCTACCCAGAGCTTGTATTACAGGTGTGCACCACCATGCTGTTTCAGTGACCAGCATGGCATGCCTAGGGTTCCAGAGCAGCACAGCATGTGGTACTGGGGATCAAACCCAAGTCCTTGAACTGACCAGGCAGGCGCTTAGACCACCGAGCTATCCCTTCAGCCCCAAACATCACTAAAAATTATAAATTCAACTCACCTGTGCCCACAAGAGCCAACTGATCTCCATGCACTCAGACCCCAGCAAGCTATGCAGCACATGAAAGAATGGACACAAGCAGAGCAATGGTAGCCAGGCTGGGGTTGGGGCTGGGAATGCTACTCCTGGCACTGCTCCTACCCACGCAGATTTACTCAAACCAAACTGCTGCCATGGCACCTTCAGTTAACACCTCCCAGAATACTTCTACTATCCCAAATATAACTAATGCCACCACCAGGGCAGGCAGTGGTGCCCTGCAGTCAATAGCCAGTCTCAATCTCTCTATTACATCTGTACTGTCAGAGACAGTGCTCAAGAAATGCTCAACTTCCCCATCTTGTAAAAATTACAAATTCACACTAAGAATATCAACAATATAAGTGTGGTCATATTCTCTAAGAGGTATATATACATTTATCCAAATGCCACAAATGCCATTTAGATATTACATATAAATCATGAAGAATTGACAAATTTTTCATTAATTCATCATCATATCCCATGGAATATACCTGCTGATTTAATATCACACTGACATAAATAAATTAAATAAATAAAAGATGCATACCTTTACAAAGATTTTCATATAGACTCTCAACGGTTAAAAGTAAGTTCTTTTCCATAATTAATCCAAATACAGCCAACCAATGTTTTTTAAAGCACTGTAATAAATGTATTAGAGTCCATGGTGGTTTCAAGTACAGCATCTAAAGAATATATTATAAGAATTAGCCTCTTGGATTTACTATTTCTATTATTTAAACATACTTATTTAAAAACTCCTACACATATGTCTGGATAAAATATACTGTAGTTAGCTCAATTCTTTTAAAGTAGAAGATGCTTTATTAAAAGCTAATCATGATTAAAAAAAAAAAAGGATCCTGTGCCAGGCCCATATGCAGTCTGGGCTGTCCTCACGGTAGCAGGTGTTGGTGTAGGATGTTCCTTTATGTTCTTCCCTATTTTACTGAGTCAAAGCTCACTCTGTGGAGCCAGGTTCTCCCTCACGCTTTGCTTTTCCTTTTTCGAATAAACTTTATTACTGCTTAACAACAACAAGAAAAAGCTAAGCATAATCTTAACATATTAATCTCCTTACAAAATATTTTTGTAAAATTCATGTTATTATTAATCGTTATAGCTTCAGAAGCTATAAGTACAAAAAGAAAACGAGTTCTACTCAGAGAGAAAGTCCTTTTAACAAGCAAAAGCTACTCGGTCCATTTTTCAGTATAGCCACTTCAATGAGGAAATCAAGCTAATCATTTCATATACCTGTGGGGAAAATCTACTAACAGAAAAAAACATGTCACCACATGCCAACATCTTTTTCTAAATCATTTGTATTTCTTTTTTAAAACTCTTTTAATTATTTATTTATATTTGGTACAGGGTCTCACTACACAGATCAGACTTACAGTGATCCTCCTGTCCAAGCCTCCCCAGCACTGCACGCTCAGGTATACACTACCACATCCAGTTTCAGTGGCCTGCACGGTATGTCTGGGGTTCCAGGGCCAGCACAGCATGCAGTATCAGGGATCAAACTCAAGTCCTTGCACTCGCCAGGCAGGCACTTAGACCACCACATTATGTCCCCAGCCCCTATATGTCTATCATAAAATATTCAATTTAAATCAACATTCCAGGGCCAGCCAAATAGCTCAGTGGATTAAAGCGTCTGCTTAGGTAGATGCAGGGCCTGGGAGAGCGAACCCCAGGCCTGCAGTGCTGGCCCCACCCCCAGAGCACACTGAGACAGCAATTGAGACTGGGCGTGGTGGTACATACCTGGAATCCCAGCACTTGGAAGGCTATAAACACAAGGATCACAATGAGTCCAATCTACACAGTGAGACCCTGTACATCCCTATACACCCTGTCCTAAATACAAAAAGAAAAAAGAAATCAATACTCCTAGAATCTTCAGATCAATCTTCGTTTTTGATTCCATACTTGACAATATAAGTAAAAGCATAATAATGGAAAATATTGGGGCCGGGGAGACGGCTAAGTAGAATAAGCGCTTCCCTGGCAAGAACAAGGGCCTAAGTTCAATCCCCAGTTCCACCAAAAAAAAAAAAAGGAAAATATTAAGAATCTCATTCAATAGCTGTGATAGAGATATAAGCTACAACTGATGGGCTATAATGTTTCTCTTAGCTCTAAAAACATCAAACATTAAACTGAACTTTGGGGCCGGGGAGATGGCTCAGTGGAATAAGTGCCTCTCTGACAAGAGCAAGGGTCTGAGTTCAATCTCCAGTTCCACCAAAAAAAACAACTCTCTAATAAAATAAATAAAAATAAACAACTTTTAGGGTCACTATTGATAAATCTGGTGTTTCACTGAACTCCAGAAGATACTGAAGGAAATTCAAAATATATTGGTAATATCATCAATTTATACTCTGATTCTCAGATTTGTATGACATAAGAAAAAATACACACTTCTCTTGCTGAATGCATATTGTTTAGGGTAATTCTTTACATCAGCTATTTTTATCACACTAAACAAGCAAAACTTTCCTGGATTCAATTTGTGTTCGTGGGACCAAGATGTCTGACACACATGAGATGCATTGTAAATAACTGTTGATTGAAAAAAGTCAACAGTAATGTATAATGATACTATACCTTAAGAAATGTCTATCACCTAATTTTGAGTTATTTTAAGAACTGGGAGATAAAATTTAATGGCACATACATTATTTATAATGAACCTTATTTGTTTTATACACATCTCATAAACTAATCTTCAGTAACAAAAAAGAAACTTTCAGTAGAACTAAACTAATCACCTCCATCCAAAGGTTCCCAAAAGCAATTTTCATTTCTGTTTCTAATATTGAAGACAAAGCTGTTCCAAGAGATCTTTCAAGATCACACATAATGTGTTCAAGTACAATGGACAATCCAGAATGTACAGATTTTTCCTCAGAAGTCTCTTCAGGTTTTGTTTCTTTAAAACAAAGAGTTACAAGTTTTATTTAGGACACTAGTGGTATTTCATATATAATTATAAATTAGTATTTCTACTACCTAGAAAACAAACAAAAGTTTAACTTTAAAACAGTATTTAGAAACATATACCTCTTAAAATGCAACATTAATGTATCACTGTAGCCATGCTTTATCTTTTTGTGAAAAAGGGTATTAACACTAAACATTTTTACTGAAATGAAAATGTAGAAAATGTATGTGATATTTTAACTACATCTATTATTTTCAAACTAAGAAAAATTGCCCAAATTCAGTGGACTAATTTATAACAGGAAACCAGAAACCATGCACCAAAACACATTTTCTTTCAGAATTAACGGATTTCTAAATTTAGCCCTCATCAATAAACTTTTTTTGAAAAACAAATCTCATGGTTTAATCATATTCATGTCCTACCCCTTTAATACAGGTTTTTATTAATTTAATTGATAACAATTTTTTTATTTGAAAACAACTGTAAATTTCTTAAGGCAAAATCTGTAATATCAAGTAGCTTATCTCTAAAATTATAAATTGAGGATTTTAAATGCAATAATATGATTGGCAATCTAAAAACATACTATCCCTAAAGCCATCAATCAGAATATTGTTACTCTTCC